TTAACGGCATTCCGCGGAGTCCTCTTGTTGGCTGGTCCATTCTGTCAAGTGATGAAGTGAATGAAGACCCAAAATTGCAGGACCAGGAACAGGACGGAAACAGACGGAGACATGAACAAGACAAGACAGGACAGGACGTTGACAAGACAATGGAACCACACAAGGCGAGAGGAGCACAGGGTACATATAGACACAGACGTGAAACACATCAGGGCAGGGCATACAATCAAGACAGGGGAAACAGGACAGGAAGTCAAACTAAAACTAATTCACAGAAAACAGACGTCAAAATAAAACAACAATACAAAAATAAAATCCACACCATAACACAAACTGATTTTTCTGAGTGTAAACATGTCTATAAATGTGTGCGTGCCTGTGTGTGTGTGTGTGCATATAGTAAACACCTTTTTAATTTCATTATTTTGCCATTATGTCAAATGCACAGATTGATTGTGGCATAGGGTCATTGGCTGATACGTTCTTTGATCCATTTTCTATTCCTTTTGAGTAGCAAATATACCTGTTATAACTTAATAACTGTTTTTCTCTACTAACTCATGACTGGCATTGACGTATTTGTCTGAGACCCTCTATTCGACTGGGGATTACAGGACGACAAAAATAGCTAAAAACAAACTTATTTTTGATGATGAAAGTAGACCATCCAGTTTTTCAGAATCTGGTTTCATATTTCACATAGTCTAAGGAGAGAATATTCTGTAAGTCTTGAAAATCAATGAAATCATCAAAAACAGCTGGGAGTCAATTGAGTTAACATTATTTTTGTTTGTTGCTCAAATAACTAAACGCACAGTTCATCGTGTTATTTCCCAGAGTGCTTTGATCATCACAAGTCTACAGTGCTTTGTTATGCTCTATCTGCTACAACATGAAAACCTGTGGCTAAAAGTCAAGTACTGTAGTTTGACCAACTTGTAAAAAAAGAACTGTTCCATCTTTGTCAAAAAAGACGGCAATCTTTTTAATATATATTCACCAAAATTTTTCATTCATTCTTTTTTTCAGGCAACAGAAAAACCTCCCATTTACAAATTATTGCTAAACCCCTGATTCCAGATTGACCCAAGTGTGTTGCCAAAACAAAAGCACTTTTAAAAATTTTATAATAGGATGTTTTTTGCTGCAGTTGGGAAAGATTAAAAGTTGATTCTTTCCTCCCTTTGTTCCCCAAATGTTGGGTTTTGTGCCACATCGCTAACTCGAGAAACCCCGCACGCCGCCTCTCTTACTTGATTTGAACTTTCCGATCTTTCATGAGATTTCAAAACAAGTCACCCCTCTCCACAGCCCTCTTATTACCATTCCAGAATTCAATGAATCACTTAAAACTGACAATTTTCATGGCCTTTTCTGGTGTGAACTCCCAACATGATATCGTTGGCATTCTCATCCGTCTCCATCAAGCGAACAAATTCACATTTTCAAATTAAAACTGCTTTGTTCCCTGTTGCGGATAGCCTCTGTGCTGTGCTGGAGGCATTTCCGTGGCGTACTTTGTTGACAGTTGGATATTAAAAACCGGTATAAACAGGTTCATAAGCCCGCCATAGTCAATTACACTTGTCGGGAGGCGCGTTTGCCAGTTCCCCCGCAGACTCTATCCTTGGTCCTTGTTAAATTTGAAAATCTACTCGTTTATTTTCTTCTCCTTTTTGGATTCTTAACACGCAAGACTAGGGGTTCGGCTGTGCAAACGACCGGCCCAGGTGAGGAGTGTACTTCGGAGATACTCGCTTCGAAATCGCTTCGACGAGCCCGGTTTTGAGGGAGAGTAAATGTTTGCTCTGTTGCAGCTTCCTAATCCTTTTGTGCAACGACAATTCCCAGACTTCCGCGGCAAAGCTCTGCGGAAAGAAAAAAAACGAAAGGGGGAAATAAGCACCCACCCTCCGCCTCAGCTAAGCCTGAGTACAATGTCGTTTGGATCCCTGTGGTCGCTGACATGATTTGATAACGTTGTAACCTCTTTAGAACAACAAAAAGCTGTGTGAGTTAGCTTTGCTTTTCTCGAACCTTCTGAAATATGACTTATGGAGATCTACAGGCGAAAGTATGCACTGGAATATTTGTGCCAAATTAGCCAGTGTGCACAATAGACAAAAGGATAAAGACAGAAAAAGCCCATACAAACAAATGAACACTGTGAATAATGGCTTGAAAATAAGCACATGCTACACATTTGGAGGTTTATTGCATTGAAACAAGCGAGTAATTACAAGATGTACAATAGTCTTGTTACTTAAATTGTGTTTTATTTAGAACAATTCATACACAAGGCAACTCAAATTTCTTGACAAAACAAGAAAATAAATTAAGGCAACACATTAAAGCTGCACTAACTGACTTTGGGATTTTGAAGCCGCGGACTCGCTGGCCTCGCTCTCTCTGCTCCCCTCCCCGCACCCCCGAAGCTATTGCCCCCCACACACACCCACTGTTGTTGACGGAGCTAGTGTCTCTCAATATGGATAATACATGGATATGGATTTGCACGTGGATGGCGTGACCATAGAACGATAGAAGCGGGAAGCGCGGAGGAACGAGACTTTCTTTTGGATTGCTGTTTCGCTGTGTAAGCAGTAACCGGTGACGAAGACGAGAAAGCTTCAGGTTAGCTCCTCAGCTTGTTATGCTAACTCAGCCGTCAATGCTAACGGGGACCTGTAGATTTCTCACGAAAGTGGGGGCTGGTGGTCCGCTGTGATTGGTCACAATCTGCGACCCGAAACACATCTCTTCCTTGTTTCATCAAAACTCGATCTAACATACAATGTCACGCCAGCACAAACCTGCGCTACTTTTTCTTCAAAAAAAAATGGACATGGATAGCATTTTCGTAATGAATACAAAAATAAAGTCAGTTAGTGCAGCTTTAAGACATAACACTCATATATAATCACTGTATATTCTTTAACCTCTTAACACCCGCCTCATTTTGGCTGGTGCACAAAAGTTGGGCATACCCAAATGTCTTTGCTTATTTAAAAACACATCTTACATCTCACATGGTTGTATGATGCATCATTTTATAAATATACACTAAAATAATGTTTGTCATTCCTATTTCACTCTACATCCTTTGAAGTTTGGGAAAAAAAACTTTTTTTAGCCTCGCCTAAAATTTTCAATTTCTAAAGGCCCTAAAAAAGGTATACTTCATTGTAAGTTCACAATATTCAAACCCTATGGTCATTGTGTTGTTGACAACACCTGTCTAAAGTTTCAGACTTCTAAGTTTTATAGTTTTTTATGCAGTTTCTGATTTTTTAAAACATTTTTTCAAAGTAAATTTTTTATGAGTGTAAAATCATTGCTGCTCCGTCAGCGCCTGTCTCCAGGCCATTACCGAGCCCCAGCGATCCAAGATGGCGCCCTATTCAAATTGAATGGTTGTGCTCAGTGGCGCTTTGTGACGGCATGGGGGCTGAAAGATTAGCGGAAGTCGCCTGGAACTCGCAAAGATCTATGGGAAACTCGCCTGTATTTGGGCATCGTCTGGTCCTCCTGGTTCTGCGCAGTGGATGATCTCCCATAATGCGTTGCGTCAAACACGCGTGTGTGGGTCTCACACCGGGTCTCACGCACGTGCACAGAGGAGCTCGGCTGCGCTCTGACCAATCAGAGCAGTTCATCAGAGCGGGAGTTAGAGCGAGAGCCAGACGGGCAGAGTTTGTGGCACTAAAGTGTGAACACGTGAACACGAAAAGAAAACCGAAGGATTTAAGAAGAACAAAAGTTCAGGATGACAAGGGACACTAAAATCCCCACAAAATCCGGCCTTTATGAAAGCTGTTCTCTGTCAGCTGATGTTGAGCTGTTTTAATATGCATTGAGTTCTATGGGGAAAATTTCTGGGTAGCCCACGTGAATTTAGTCTGGTTCAGTCTGCAGTACCGCGAGAATCCCAGGAGCACATGAGTTATTGAGCTACAAGCTAGTAATACCCTATCCAGTTATTATAATAGATCCATGGCCATTACGCAGCCTTCTACTTAGACAACCCAACCCAGTATACAGAAAGCTTTCCTCATTGGCTACACGGACATGTCAATCTTTCCGCCAGGAAGTAGATGCAAAGCAGTCAAATGACAACAAATGTGAAGTGACCCCATGCGCAAAATGCAGCCGCTTGTACAACTCAGGAGAGATTTTGGAAGGTGTCATTTGAAAGATAAGGAGTAGCTGAACACGTGGATACTGGATGTTTGGGTGAAAAACAAAGCTAAAAGTCCGTAAACAGTCAAAGAACAGCCTCTGTGCTCTTTTTTTTATTTTTTTTCCGCTAAAGATGCACATTTTTGGATTATTTCTCCAGAATGGATTATACTTTGGGAATACAAGTGGATATTCTTTTTCCTTGGACTATTAGGGAGTGAAAGAGCCATAGGAATCCGGGAGGAGAGCTGATTTATTTATGCAGCACAAGCCCGAAGTTAAAAAACGTTTTCCTTAGTGACTTATTTTGTGCCCACATTATGTGTTATATCTTTTGAATGCAAGTCTGATGTAGTTTACACTTTTATAAAAATGTAAATAAGCTTTAAAATGTTGGGGTTTGGTGTTCAAAATACATCTGCTATTGCCAGCAGAACATTTTAAAAATAAATGTTTACTCTCTGCACTTCATCTCGCAGATCAAACGAAAAGAGGTTAAAGAGTAAAGATAAAATCCTCCAGTTGTAACAAAACAGAACACATTCTACTGGGATGAAGAACACTGACGGGAGTAAAAGATTTCTATGTACTGTTTTGTTGACTTTCTGAGTTCAGGGTCTCTGAAAGAATAGACATTTACAGCCCGGTCTCAACGGAACAACGACAAACACCGTTGAGACCCACCTGACCGCCAACTTTCCGCTTCCTCCCTCTCCTCGTTGCGAGTAAAACCTGATCTCCCACACGAGGGGCTGCCTTTTAACTTTACGATTGTAGTTTTCTGTCTGACGGGCCTGGGCTGTCCCTACTGTTCTGAGGCTATGCGCGATGCCACAGCTAGTCCACTGCCTCAAAGCCGCAATAAAACTCGTGGTGTCAACAACAGGGGTACCCACCAGCACGTGCTGAAAAACTACATACGACCGCACCCGGGAACCCCTCCGCAAACAAGCACCCGCACCTCCCAACCCGGTCAAAGCGACACAGAGGTAGAAAAGGCGCAAATCCCGTGGTCTCATGTTCTGTTCCAATTGTAGCAAAAGAATAGCATTCGCAACTCTGGGGCCCAAGGACCTCGCTTTCGACTGGGGGGCGGCAACGGATCATATCCCCACAGTCCTGTTGAACCGTTCTGTGATGCATTCCCCATAGGATGGTACCGCGTCGTTCGACAATTTGGACCCCAGACAGCGTCAAAAGTCTTTCATCAAGCTACTCTCCTCGAAAATTTGCAACCTGGTCGAATGTATGGGCGCTTTGGGAAGCCGTACACGCAGAAAAAGTTCATTCCACAGTCCGGTACGGGGCAACTTGATAGGCTACTGTTCTTACTACAGGTAAAGCATGTGCCATTTTAGAAAGTGTTCAGTGACAACCAGAACATCGCGCATATTTTGTCCGTATAGTTCAGAAGCCGTCCAGAAATTCGATGCAAACCACTCCCATCGGCTCCGAGGTTTGGATACTTTCCAAGGGCGCACGTCCATGGTGGCCTCTGGTGTTTAACCACGACGCACCTGAAGCATTTTCCTGACGTATTGATGACTCATTTTCCATCCCCATCCAGAAAAACCTCGTGCCTGGCCAAGACAGCGTCCGCCCCCGCATGGCCCCCTGGAGCCCCGCTGAGTCGCGTGAGGCCAGTGATGGACTAGTTGTTTTCAAAGCGCTCCGGCACAACGACCTGATGGAGCGACACGTTCATTTTTAATGTCTCTCTTTGACCGGAACACAATCCGTCCAAATAGACAGCTTCGCCAATGTTTAAGTAGATTCCCTCTCACCCCGACCTGGCTCGCGTGCGCGCTCTACGATTTGAGGGTCTATTTTCGTCTTTGTACGAAATAAAAGACTCACTCAGATTGTTGTCCTGTTCTTCGCATGAACACAAGCTGGCTCAGCGGGAGTGAAGTACTGTCAGTGATACACGCTAGCTGCGGACCCTCAGCACATGTGACACGCAACGGGCTTGTATTGTCTTCCACTATGGACACTTAACACCGCATGGACTTCGCGAAAGACAGGAGAAGGCTGTGGGGAAAGGCGAATTGGCAGAGTCCCCAGACTGGGGTCTACGCTTGGCAGTTGTTAGTGCACCTAAACGCATCTTGGACCTCTGGTCCGCTAAACATCACTAACATGGGCAGCAGGTGAGAGTACGAGTTCAAGACACAAACGAGACGGTGAGCCACGCAAGACTTAACAAAAGGCTCCCAACTGAGTGCGTCAGCAACTACGTTCTTAGTGGCCCGGACATAGTTTAAAGACGAAAGCAATACCCTTCAACTTCGCCACCACCTCTTTCGTCAGCGTCAAGTTTTGGGCTTGGACAAAATATTAGTCAGTGGATTAATGTCAGTCCAAACAGAAAAAGGTTCCTTCCCTTTAACCAATGGCCAAAATTTGTCGCATACAGCCCACTTAAGAGCTAAAATCTCCAGACGGTGAAGCGGGATACTTCAAGCCTGTGCATGATACAATGTTTTACTAGCAAAAGCCACAGGTCTGGAGATGTCTACCAGGTGACAGTTGCGAAAGAACAGCGCCTAGCCCCTCGAAAGAAGCGTCAACATCTAGATAAAAGAGCGTCAAAATCTGGATGAGCCAACGTTACACTGTGGTATCAAATCATGTTTATGTTCCGAACGCTTCCTACCAGTCGTCAGTCAGTCAGTGGGTCAATCTCCTAAACCTTTCTTGAACTTAGGCCTGGGAGGTCTACCCTTTTCGTCAGGAGTGGAAGTTCTGTCACGATACTAACAGAGGGCCTAGCTTGGCCGAACAGCCTTCGATAAAGTTGTGGTAATACAAGGCCATGCCAAAAAAGGACCTAAATCTTTTGGCACTGGGTTTTACCGTCTGCCTCCATGATGTCCGCCTCCTAAATATCCCTGAGATGCCATAGGACATTACTGGGCATCGGTTTTCATGAGCCCTCCTCGCAGACGATGTGTCCAAAAAACTTTACAGAACGCCGGAGGAAATGACATTCTGGGGGAAAGCTAAATGGTTATTTAGCAGCTACCCGCGAAAATAACCATCTCCAACCGCTCTAGAGCGCAATCTGTCCGTACGCGCAAACACCAACAAATCGTCGAGATAACACAATAAACTGGAAAAGTTATTTCTCACCAAGATCGACAGATCAACATCCATGAACGTTGCGGGCGGTAGGTCCGTCCTTGAGGCATATCAGTTGTACACGTGCATCCCGAACGGGGAAGAGAAGGCGGTGGAACCGCTTGTCGTCCTCGAGTGTGTAGCGGAACGTTTTGTAAAACCCCGACGGTGAGATCCATGGTGTGAGAAGAACACATTGCCTCAAGCGCAGCGAGCGCATACAGTCTGGTGGGGCAATGGTGCATCTTAATAGTTCTTGCATTAAGCCACCGAAAGTTCATTACAGATGCGTAAATCACCATTGGGATTTCACACGAGGTCAGAGGAGAACGCATAACTCGCATCTGTACTTCTTGATGATCCCCGACTTCCTCCATACGTCGTTCAAAGCTGTCCTCAATTTTCGTACTGGCAAGAAGGGACACGCCTGTACAAGTCCTTAACGGCTTGTTCATCCATCAACCGGATTCCAGTTACAAAGTCTTTCGCATCTCCACAATCCATCTTGTGCCATTAGAACGTGGAGTCCGTATCGCTCGATCAGGATAGAGTAGCTTGTTCCTTCCACTTCCAATGACACCTCAACAAGACGTTATGTTAAACTTCCGGGAGTCCCATGTCCATGAGTGCCTTTTAACTCTCCTCATTTTCAAAACAACTGAGTCTCCATCGTGCGCTGGTGTTTTGACTGAACACGGTTGTGGCTCCGTAGATCCTGTACTGACAAACTAGGGCGAAACGACCACTGAGTTTGGCATTTTTTATTCCAGTACAAGGTTTCATCATTCGTGGGATTTACAATTTTAACGGGAACCCACACCTCCCATACAGATGGTGACAACTCACCCCACTAAGATCTGCTGCGCTGGTCCTCAGTCTTAGATCGAGTAGGTTTCTACGAAACGGAGAGCGCCCAACCCGCCGAAGCTCTACATACGGTAACTTAAGCCCACACTAAATGCTCAGTCAAAGGCTGCAATGTAACACACCTTTTTTAAACTTTGCAGTCCCAAAATCCAAAGGCGAAGCGTCAGTACGGTGCAAACTGTATGGGACAAGAGCGATAGCAGCTTGGGTAGCTCTTTGCCAAAAGCGCCCATCTTACTCGAGTCTATGCACCATTTTCCGATCTGCATCATGAGCCAATTTCAAAACGTTGCTCCCCAGGATCATGCTGTCGGACTGAATGGCCTGGAACTACTAGGACTGGGACAATGACTTTGACACCGTACACTAAAACAGAGAGGTCGTACATAGCTGTAGGCATTACCGGTTGACCTCCGCAGCCCACGATGACATACTCGTCCGCTCGCTTCCTGTCATCTCCGGAAAATCCCTCTGCAGCATTGAATCAGTCTGTTCGCTAATAGTGCACGCCATAGACCCACTGTCCACTAAGGCCTTGAGGACAAAACAGTTGTCCATGATAACGTCCGTGTGAAATAACGAGTCTGTTTCTGAAAGTCCTCTGCAGTACTTGTACAACTGGTGTCTTGCCCAACGGCACCTTGTCACCGTAACCTACACGGGCGGGCCCGAACCGTACTGCACTGTCCATTGTGGGAGGTGGAGAATCCCTATCTGCGCTGTCCTCCCCTACAACGCAGACTGGCTAGTTTCCCTGAGGCCCGGAGGGAGAAGTGTTAACGGCCCGGGGACATTCGCTGGCTGGAGTGGCCCTGCGCGTGGCATCGAAAACACAGTTTATGCTTCATACAATGCGTGTACGCGGTGTGAGACACATCCTTGCAGACCGCACACGGCATGCTGTTAAAACCGTCCATCTTGGGATACCGTGTGTCTCGACGCGGTCTTCCGAGCAACCTGGGCGCGCCATCTTGAGTTTGTGACAAAACCTTTTCTAACATGGCGCGAGTTTCTCAAACATAGAATGGTCGGTTACGTTGGCAGCGGGGGGCACCTCAGCGGCAACATCACTTTTATTCACAGTAACTGTGTTCATTACACCGATTCCCTGGAGCTATGTTCTAAATGGTACTCCGTCCAGCACCTCCTGGACATCGCGAGCCCGACCACTTATCGATAGTCTTAGACCGGAATGTGTAAGAAAGTTCTTTGTTCGGACAGTGTCTTATGAATCATCGAGGGGGACCGAGGAGTACAGGCCGGCGCCAAAATGTTTACGCAAAAGACCGTAAATAGCTTCGGCGCCCTTGTGTGGAATCCAGACCTCCATTTTTTAAGTCCTAATTTCACGACATTTCTAGCCTTGCCCTTTAAATAGACAAGGACTTCCTCCGTACACACTCGACGGGAACATTACTTTTGCGAGAATAAACCTTCATCAAGTCCCACTCCCATTCATCGACAGGCCAACACATCTGACCATCCCCTCTAAACACCGGGGGCTCTTTGGCACCCTTTTCGATAAATGTGACATTTGAAAGGTTCAAACTACGACGGTTTTCATGGAACCATTGGCTTGTGGAGACGAATCAGGAGCCCTGGGAGACTCGCCGGAAGAGCTGGATGAATTCAACCCTAGACACAATATTATCAGCTAACATGTGACCCCATCTGTTGCATCAATGTCCGCTCATTGGTTCAAACCCCCCACAGTTTCCATCAACAACCCACTTGTCCCGTACTGCACTTAGGCAGACACCAAAACACACATTGTTCATATTACTAAGGCGTAGCTCTGCCTCGGCAACACTACTAACCCACACCACTCAAAGGAAACGGGAGAGGGGACACCAAACCCCGCGCCCTCGGCCGACCATGGCAGGCGTGCGCAGCTCCTCCCGGATGCCATCCCCGCGGCGTGAAGTAGACGCTGGCGTAGGTGATGCAATTTTCAGCCTCCGTTGGTTCGAGCGCCGACAGCCCCACGTGTGGCGATGGCGACTCCCAGCGGCGAGGCCGACGGTGGTACAGGGCGAATGTCCTGGAACCCGAGTAGCATGCACCGTGGACCCGACGTCGTCTGGTCCGGTCCTAAACGGATGTCACGGCACCAATGTGACCTGTGCTATAGCGACCCTGCGTTGTGTACGGTGCTCTGAACCCAGAGAAGAGACTTGGCTGCAATTGGGATTGGCAACGCCGAAACCCTTTTATTTCCTGGCGAAGGAATATAAAATAAATGGCGTTAGCCCAAACATGTGTGTGCCCAACACGGCCTTTCTCTTAGACATCAGGGGAAAGAGAGCCAAACATAAATGTACATTACATACCTGGCGAAGGAATATAAAATAAATGGCGTTAGCCCAAACATGTGTGTGCCCAACACGGCCTAAGAACATAAAACAGAGGAAACAGAAAACACATAAGTACTAAATAATATACAGGGATGACACTAAAACAACGTAATAACATAAAAGACAAGATGAAATTACATAGATGTTAATTTTAAATACACGATGCCTCTTAGATATTAAAACCAGCTACCTTTCTCTTAGACATCAGGGGAAAGAGAAAGAAGGAAGAGGCGGAGCCTGACTTAAATACCGGCAAACCGGAAGTGACAAGTGTTGGGCCAGACGACCAAAATAAAAGACATACATGAGCTAACATACACTGCCAGGTACGTACTAAACACAATTGCACCGATCCTATTATCAGGATTTTAAACCAACCTTTAACACCTGTTACACTAGCGTTATTTGCGGGACCTATTGCAGACCCAAAAATTGGTCTAGCTTTTCGGGAGTAGTCTCATTTGAAAGATAAGGAGCTAAGGAACACGTAGATACCCAGATGTTTGGGTGAAAAACAAAGCTAAAAGTCCGTTACAAGTGAAAGAGTAACATCTGTGCTCTTTTATTTTTTTTTTTTTCGTTTTTTTTTTCGCTAAAGATAAATGCACATTTTTGGATTATTTCTGCAGAATGGATTTTACTTTGGGAAATACAAGTGGATATAATTTTCCTTTGGACTGTTCCAGAGAGAATGATGTATTGCAAGCTGGGAGGAGAGCTGATTTATTTGTACAGCACAAGCCCAAAGGTAAAGAACTATTTCCGAATTAATTTATTTTGTGCCCACATTATGTGTTATATCTTTTGAATGCAAAGTCTGATGTAGTTTACACTTGTATGTAAATGTAGATAAGAAAATAAGCTTTAAAATGATATACAGCTTTTGGGGTTTGGTGTTCAAAATACATCTGCTATTGCCAGCAGAACATTTAAAAACATAAAAACAACGATGGAAGCGATGGAAGGCTGCGGCCGATCACTTCCTCTGCAGAGCGCACAATGCACTGTAGTCTCTGTTTGTTGTGATGGAGGAGGTGATGGAGGAGGTGATGGAGGAGGGGATGGAGGAGGTGATGGAGGAGGTGATGGAGGAGGTGATTGAGGAGGTGATGGAGGAGGTGATGGAGGTGGTGATTGGAGGAGGTGATGGAGGAGGTGATGGAGGAGGTGATGGAGAAGGTGATGGAGGAGGTGATGGAGGAGGTGATGCAGGAGGTGATGGAGGAGGTGATGGAGGAGGTGAAGGAGGAGGTGGTGATGGACTCAATGATGGCCGTGTAGAACTGCAGCTTGGCTTTCCTGAGCTGCCGCAGGAAGTACATCCTCTGCTGGGCCTTCTTGATGAGGAGCTGATGGTCGGCTCCCACTTGAGGTCCTGGGTGATGGTGGTGCCCAGGAAACGGAAGGACTCCACAGAGGTGATGGAGGAGTCCATCACGGAGGGTGGGGGTGGGGGGACAGTGCTCTTCCTGAAGTCCACAATCATCTCCACTGTCTTCTGGGCGTTCAGCTCCAGGTTGTTACCACTGCACCAGGACACCAGCCGGTCCACCTCCCTCCTGTAGGAGACACCAGGACACCAGCCGGTCCACCTCCCTCCTGCAGGAGACACCAGGACACCAGCCGGTCCACCTCCCTCCTGTAGGAGACACCAGGACACCAGCCGGTCCACCTCCCTCCTGTAGGAGACACCAGGACACCAGCCGGTCCACCTCCCTCCTGTAGGAGACACCAGGACACCAGCCGGTCCACCTCCCTCCTGTAGGCGGACTCATCGTTGTTGGAGATGAGTCCAATGAGGGTGGTGTCGTCCGCGAAACTTGATCAGCTTCATGGAGTCGTGGCTGGAGGTGCAGTGGTTGGTGTACAGGGAGAAGAGCAGGGGAGAAAGAACACAGCCCCTGTGGGGCTCCTGTATTTATAATCCGAGAGTCAGAGACATTTTTCCCCAGACGCACTCGCACTCGCGTCTGGGGAAGGCCAATACACACCCATACATAAACACATATACACATTGGGTCCGGATCAGGTGTAAGTCATCCACAGTGGTCCGGATCAGGTGTAAGTCATCCACATTGGTCCGATCAGGTGTAAGTCATCCACAGTGGTCCCGGATCAGGTCCGGATCAGGTGTAAGTCATCCACAGTGGTCTGCATCAGGTGTGAGGTCTGCGGAGGCGTGAGGGGAAGCTGTCTGTTGAATGTAAACATGAGGAGAGCTGTTTTTAGGCGCTCGCCGGATGTTTCCTTTCTATATTTAATAACTCTGGGCTCGGATTCATAAGCTGAACACATACGGCTCTTACTAATCCTTTTAGCGACGAGGAGGAAATGTGTTCACACAGCTGAGAGTCGGAGCAGTCCAGAAACACACGCACGAATCAAAAGTATTATTAATGCAACTTTGAGGCGACAGTAGCTCAGTTGGTAGAGCATTGGCCTTAAGGCCAGAAGGTCGTGGGTTCAATTCCCACCTCTGCACCTTCTCCACCGACTCCCACTGATGACTGCTGTCGTTGTGTCCTTGGGCAAGACACTTAGCCCCACTTTGCCCAAAGCCCCCACTGAAAGATCAAGGCTATGCTCACACTCAGAGAGCAGCCGTCCTCCTGTGGACTCACCACCTGCAGAGGGTCAGTGAGGGGCTAGTGCTATGAGACTTGGGTGGCATCTCTGACTGCCACCCCCCCTGACCCAGAAATGGATTAAAGGGTAGAAGATGGATGGATGGATGGATTAATGCAACTGTATGTTTTACAAAGTCAAATGAATCCTGCTGGTTTTTGCAAATGTTATTCTATAAACTTTTTCTAAAACCAGACCAGGACCAGACTGTCCAAACTGAAAGTCCTTTTGGTGAAAACTGAATATTTTGGGCGGAATTCCATTGGTTTGAATTGGAACAGTCAAAATGAACGGCTCTGGGAGTTCTAGAAGTTCCAGTGATAAGAACTAGGGCTCTGCAATATATGGAAATACATGGAAATATTGATTATTTTTGTTGTCCCCATTAAACAAGTCATGGGACTGAACAAAATGTAAACATCAAATACATTTTAATTCCATCCCAAACAAACAGGAAAGTTTTGTAGACCCGTTTTAAAGAGTAGTCTCGCACAGTTTTTTCAATGTGGTTTTACTGCAAATGGCAAATAAATTCTTGTATCTTGAATCTAATCAATGTTGTGCCTTTTCTAAAATCATGAAAACACCAAACTACAGAAGCAGAGACCGGAGGAAACGTCCCAGATTCTCACATTTCAGGTTAATTGTTCAAATGAATGATTTGCTGATCCCGAGATGGACAGTGTTGTTTGTGTGGGTTGTAAATATAGTAACAAGAGCCTAAACCACAGACTAAAAACAGACATGCACATATTTGTTATGTTACTGTATTGCAAAATTACAATTCCAGTCATTTGGTGGGTGGGTGTGGGGGTGTGTGTGTGTGTGTGTGTGTGTGTGTGTGTGTGTGTGTGTGTGTGTGTGTGTGTGTGTGTGTGTGTGTGTGTGTGTGTGTGTGTGTGTGTGTGTGTGTGTGTGTGTGTGTGTGTGTGTGTGTGTGTGTGGGTGTGTTTGGGGGTGACCCTTTCCTCTCGGGGGCAGGAGGCTGGAGGTAATTGACGGAGCTCTGATGGATGAGAGGGTTACCGTGGTTACATCAAGCCCAGTGTGGACAGATGGAAATACACTGTAAAAAGGTATTGACGATGGAGGAATTTGTCCCGGGTATTTATTGTAATTTTTTTTTTTTTTATTGACGAACTTTGTAATTACGTAAAGTTTATCTGTACATCGCCTTTCACAGACCAGAATCACAAAGCGCTTCATAATTAAAAAAACATACGATGAAAAGTAGAACACATCAGAGTCCGTTCCAAACAAATAGGTAAGTTGTGACTTGAAGTTGTCCACGGACTCTACCATGTGCAGAGACATAAATGTCATACATGGATCATCACAGTCCTTCTAGTTGGACACTAACTGTCCAACAGACTCTCCTGCATCAGAGGAAAAAAACTCATAAGAAAACCCAGTGGGAAAAAGTGAGAAACCTCAGGGAGACCCATGGTTTTAGAAAGGGATCCGCTCTCACGGACGGACGGGCTATAGATCCAGGACTCAGACTGTAGATCCAGGACTCAGACTGTAGAACGAGGACTGAGGCTGTAGATCCAGGACTCAGACTGTAGAACGAGGACTGAGGCTGTATGATCCAGATCAGACTGTAGAACAGGACTGAGGCAGTAGGACCCAGGACTCAGACTGTAGAACGAGGACTGAGGCTGTAGACCCAGGACTCAGACTGTAGAACGAGGACTGAGGCTGTAGACCCAGGACTCAGACTGTAGAACGAGGACTGAGGTCTGTCAGTCCTCGATCCAGTCAGAGTCTGGGTCACTACACCTCAGTCCTCGTTCCTACAGTCCTGAGTCCCTGGATCTACAAAGCCTCAGTCCTCGTTCTACAGTCTGAGTCCTGGATCTAAGCCTCAGTCCACGTTCTACAGTCAGAGTCCTGGAATCTACAGTCTGAGTCCTGGATCTTCCCCGTCCGTCCGTGAGAGCGGATCCCTTTCTAAAACCTTGGGTCTCCCTGAGGTTTCTCCTTTTGACCCACTGGGTTTTCTTATGAGTTTTTCCTCTGATGCAGGAGAGTCATGTTGACCAGTTATGTCCAACAAGAAGGACTTGAAAGATCCATGTATGACATAGATGTCTCCTGCACATGGTAGATCCGTGGACAACTTCAGTCACAACTTACCTTATTTGTTTGGGAACGGACTCGATGTGTTCTACTTTTCATCGTATGTATTTAATTATGAAGCGCTTTGTTGATTCTGGACTGTGAAAGGGCTATGTACAATACACTTTACGAATTACAAAGTTTCGTCATAAAAAAAAAAAATTACAATAAATACCCGGGACAAATCCTCCATCGACAATACCTTTTTACAGTGTATTTCCATCTGTCCACACGGGCATGATGTAAACCACGGTAACCCTCTCATCATCAGACTCCGTCAAGTACCTCCAGCCTCCTGCCCCGCGAGAGGAAAGTGTCACCCCCAAACACACCCACACAACACACACACCCACACCACACACACACACACACACACACACACACACACACACACACACACACACACCCAACACACACACACACACACACACACACACACACACACACACACACACACAC